TTCCTGCTCAGAGCAGATCTCACAAGATCTGGTTGCTCAAGGCCATGTCTAGTCTTGAAGATTGCCAAGGACAGAGATTCCACAACTTCTCTAGGCAACATTTTCCAGTATTTCACCACCATTAGGACAGGGAGAAATAAAATATAGTATTTCCTTCTATCTAGTTGCGATTTCCCATGATCCAACTGATGTCCACTGCCTCTCGTCCTATTGCTGTACATTTCTGAGAAGTCTGACTCCATTTTTGCTGTATTGTCTGACCAGATAGTTGTCACCTGTTTCATATATCAAATCTATTTGACAGATTAGACATGGCACGCTGTATCGTCTGACCAGATAGTTGTCACCTGTTTCATCTATCAAATCTATTTGACAGATTAGACATGGCAATCTTCCTGAACTTGAACCTTATGCTTCAAATTAGGAGGAGCTGTGAACACAGGTCAGGTAAGTTCTAGTCTGCTGTAGCTATGTCTGGTCCTTCTTTACACTTCTTACAGAATCAGTGAAGGAACTGAATGAATGAAGAAGCAGCCAATCCATATTCGACTGGTTTTTAGACTTGACAAATTATAGGCTATACCATACACCTATATTCAGATGATTCCATCAAAGCACATTTTGTAGATAAAATATATACACATAAAATTGCACTATGCATTTTATCCAACTACTTTGTCACATCTAGTTGCTTAGTTCATCACTGCTAAGATGTTAACTTCTTTGACCAGGTAATATCTTATATTGACTTACTTGTTTCTTGAAGTAGCCGATAGCGTATTCATCTGCATACGTGAGAAAGTTGAGTATGTTGTGTTTGATGTGGTACTCCTTCAGATGGTTCATCAGGTGAGTCCCATAACCCTGTGTGAAATGTAGGAGAAAAAAGCCATTACAAAGCCTGTGGGGACTGCACATACTAGAAACTGTGGAGCGAGGCTTATTACAGACTGTTTTTAAAACACGGTCTTTCTTCTAGAGCCTCTTTTAAAGATTTTCCCATAACTAACTCGGCGAGGCATACTCAAGATCAAACTGTTTCAGCCTTGTAAGGGTATCTTTGGGACCCAACAGGGAACACAAAATGTTGCAGCTTCTAGTGTCTGATTCACTTTTAATCTAAAAGAGACCAAAACCTAGACTCTCTCCAGGCATAAAGCATAGCTCTAAAGAGGTACATTGTCCTGGAAGTTATAATTCAAGGTGCACACAGTATTTTTTTCCTTTTAAGTTAGATATCAACTATTAATAGTCACATATTTCACCAATAACAGAAACTACCTATATTGTAATAATAGGGCATCCTTTCTTAGCTGTATCATTTCAAAACCGCAAAGCAGTAGGAATATTGAAACGACTCCTTCTAGAGGAATCCATTCTGAGATGAGATCTCTGGTTTACTGTATCCTGTTCACCTGTAGCAGAAACAGCCTCTGCTGCAAAGGACTTATAATCTGAATTTATCATAGGGCACAAAAGGGAATAATGAAACAGTTATTACCATAATAAGCAGCAGAAAATTATTCATTGAGTCCACAATCAAATAGCTATGCCTTCTGACTGCACACAGGAATAACTTCCATTTTCATTCAACCCCAAAGTAAACAAAAGGTTCCATTTTTTCACATTTCCAAGTAAACTATAGTCTTTCCCTTCTGCTGTGAGATGAAGAAATGTAAAATGGACAGGAAAGGCCATAAGAATGTGTTCCTCCTGCATACGTTCCAATTTTAACATCATGGAGACTAACGGGGCGTTACAGAAATACACACGGAATCAGTTTGGATACTCTGTTCTTGAAAACTGGGGAAATTTTTACTTAGGTACATAAGGTAGAAAAATAAATTAGAAAACATATACTTCTGATCTAATTCACAATTTCGTAGTCCCAAACATGGAAAGAGCCAGATAAAAGCAAGTTAGGTAAGTGCTGAAGTTCAATACAAAAAATTTAGTAGTGGTGCATTTTCTTTAAAATTCTACTAATCTAGGTACAAAATTTGTGTATTAGTCCTTCCTTTCCAGCTAGTGTTTGGAGTATCTGGTATTCAGATCTCATATTCGAAATTAAGACCTCATATGTGTAAAAATAAGTACTTCTTAATTTGAGGAAGCTCTTAAAGCCATTATTTTTATAACCTTCACGGGATTTATTTATTCTCACAAACACTTGCCAAAGTCTAACAATCCTAAAAGGAAACTAAGCCATGTACAGTAAAATTTAAAATAATTTTGTAAAGTGGGATCAAACTATCTCAAAAACAATACAACTTTTGAATATCACATGTAAAGGAAAACAATATCTATATTTCTTACTCCAGTCTCAAACTGAATTAAAATAGGAATTTACTTTTCCCAAGAGTAGGCAGTTCACCCATGTGTGAACATCTAGTTCTTCTCAGTTACCTGCTGGTAGGGGTCACCTTACTCAGATAGGAATGTGGGAAGACAAATTTTCAGAAATAGTCAACTGATACAGTGAGGCACCCAGAAGGTAACAGAAGAAATAGTGCATTATGTATGCATATGCAACCCTAGGAGACACTCTGATGGGTCAAGATTTATTTGCTCTATTATATTCTGAGAGGTTATTCCTGAAGAATCACAACACACCTTTGGCAGCCTAACTTGTGTAGTGCAGTTGGTTGTTCTAGTAGAATGAAAATATCCTTTACGAATTAGTCGAGCTTAGAATAGACATCACTTAAGCATATTCTGTTATTGTTTGCATTTGATAAAACACTTTGGATACTTTTGTGACAGGTCACTGCTAAGTGCAGAGGAATGACCTCTCTAACACCAGAGTCGAATAAAATCAAATATAAGCCAAGTTGTGACAGGCTTTCAATCCCACTGTATTACCCTTCCACACCCAGAGCTCTTCACCTCAAAACAGGGCACACAATTTCTGCATGTTCAACTGCCACAGCCTCTGAATTAACCCACATCTCAGCTCTAACAGTTTCAACTGAAAAACATAAAGCTACAGCACCATCTAAAGGCAAAATCCTGAATCAAATAGTCATAGTTAGATCTAGCTGTAGTCCCTGGGAAAATGTGAGGAATCTCCTGTATACACAGCTGCTAATCCTCAACACTCAGAGAAAATTTTGTGATACTAACTCAAAAAAGAGTGTACAGACCATGTGCTTATTTTAAGATAAAAACTATACCTAATTTTTTTGATATCTCATTTTGATTGAAGCCACGTAATGCCACAAAGTGATTGAATACAAGTTACTGTCACACACAAGCAATAATTATTTCAGTCAACCATGAGATGTAACACTACACAGACAGGCAATTGCTGGGGACACAGGAGTGAACAGTCCAAGAATGGGAGACTACTGGCCACTGCTGCTGTGCTGAGAAACTCATGATTCTAAATCTGCACATTTGTTTAGTTTTTGTGCATTATATTCAGAATCACTCTTATCTTTCAAACTTTATTTCTGTTTGGTAACTCAGCAATATATTCGAGGTGATTAACAAAATTAGGAGCATATGTAGTAGCCCTGGATATGCAGGACTCAAAGATATTTAATAAACTCTAGCAGAGAATTATTTTTACCTTGACTTGCTCATTGGAAGTCACAGCACAGAAAACAATCTCCGTAAATCCTTGGGAGGGGAACATCCGGAAGCAGATACCACCAATAACACGACCATCTTTTATTAATGCAAGGGTCTTGTGTTTCCTGAGTAGATAAAAATAACAGTCACTTTAATTCATGTACATAGTACATAAAGTGCCATTATCTTCCTTTTTTCAGAAACTTGATTCACTTCTTTCCATGATGCTAATGCAATTCTATATGCCTCTGCTAAGTTAGCTGCTTGTATCTACAGAAGAGTAGCTATTTTAACATCATGCTTTGAATTTACCATAAAATTCATCATTCATGCAGCAAGGTCCTGGCCTTATCAAGTACTTCTACATACCAGGGTAATGCCCAATAAATGAGAGTTGTATTGCTTGCATTGAATCTATTGCTGACAGTTACGCCATTGAGTGGTTCTCAGGATGATTTTACCCTGACTAAATTAGAAATTAATGGAGTTACAGGACAGCAAGTCCTTTCTAAGGGATTCCTGTTTCCTTGCACGGACTCTCTATAGCTAAGCTATCAGTTTCAAATGCAGCTGATGAAGCAAGAAATTATATTTCTTCATTCTAATCACCGACTCCTAGCAGAATCAAGACCAGAATAAATATCCATTTCTGTTGCACTTACATTGACTGCCAGGAAAGACACGATGAGGCACAATCTGAAGTCTTGTGTCAAGTATTCAGAATTTTAGTGTAATACTTAAGGTCTGGAAGGATTTACACTGCACCTGTTCTCTAGATTATTCAATACACGGTATCATATAAATTGTATAACAATACAGTAAATTTACAGAAGATATCTTTTTCAGGGGAAAGGTTGCTGCCAAAAGTGAGCTCCTGCCAAAAAAAATGTAGTCTGAAGAGTAGTTACATTTTATGTGCCACTGTTGAAGAAGATTTTATACATTTTACATATCCTTTTTCTTGTACTTATTTTGGTGCTTTTTATTTGTGGAATGACAGCAGTAATGTAGTAGCTTGATCTTTTAATTTTGTTTACTCATGTTTGAGTTGTTTAAACAATAAGATTCAGTAAGGATGGCCATTCCAGAAATAAGAACAACAAAGCTGACAATAAGTAAGGTAATAGCTGAAAGAAATTTGGGAAGAGAACTGTTGGACTTCAGCATCTCGCACTTGATGTAGGTTTGTGTGCACCCACTACTCAGCATAGGTCTCCAGTGTGTGACCCTGGAGACTCACAGCAGATGCCAGGGTACTCTGAGCTGTCCAGGAGATGGGCTTCACTTCCTTTGGGTCAACTGTTTGCTTCAGGCACATAAAGGAAGGCATTTTCTTGCTGTAGCAATATCCGCACCTCCTTCTTAAACACAGTCCACTCCCCAGATGGACATCTATACTGAAGAGCACTTAAACTACCAGCAGTTCCTCTCAGCCTAAAAGCAGAGTCTTTCCCAGTAAGAAATATGGGACAAGGCCATCACTCGAGACCACTACGTCAGAATTTTGCTTTGATGGTCGGTGATAAGGGAACCTGGCTTCTTCAACCAGTAGCCTCTGCTTGAGATCACAGTGCTGCTAAGGCTCCCAAACTCAGACAAGATCGCGGTGCTGCCTCTCTCTCCCAACTGAGCGGTGCTTACTCCCACTTTAGGAGAGGTAAAACGTCTGGACTGCTGCTGGCCCTCATGACACAAGTGCTGTTCCCCTCTGAAGAACCTAGCAGAAGGTCCCAAGACCAGTCTCCTGTGCCAGGAGTCTGAAGTCCTGTCCAGCAGCCCCCAGTACTGGGCTGTTTGTGCTTCAGGGATGGCACTGGCCCCGCAGCAGCAGTATTTGCTGGCACCACGAGAGCGTTGCTGAGGGGAATGCTAGCAAGCCTCATGGCAGAGGAAACACTTCCAGAAATGTTTTTGTAACTGCTGCAGCTATAATACTGGGCACAAAGACAGAGGCTAATACCACCAGTGGTGGAGAAAGGCTCTTCCACAAACCAGGCTGCATAGTTGGCTGTGATCAGCTCAGTCAGAGATCCTCGAGGTCTCTGCTGACACACAGCAAGTCCACAGGCATCCTCCACCACGAAGCGCTACAGTCAATACAGCAAATCCCTAGGCTGTCATTGGGCATGGATCATTCAGAGGCAGAAATTTTGGGAGAACATACCGGTTGACTGCAGGAAACACAACGGTGGAAAAGCAGACACTTGTGAGGAGAACCTCCCTTCATGTTTGAGCAGCTGAGGGTAGGTGGAGGACCATGTGCAACCTGTGGATGCTGCTACAGCCAATACGTCTTTTTTCAAGTGCCTACAGAGTAGAACTGCACCCAAAGCAAGACAGCAAACTTGCACCGATACAGAAAAAAGCAACGTGCTTGGGTGAGAAGTGATTTCTCCCATGCTGACTTAAATGCTGCTGTTCTTCATAAATCCCACAAATTGTTCTCATTGAAAAACTTCATCCTCTGCTGCCATTTGGTTCACAATCTCCACAGACAGAGGATAGAGCAGCCTGCAAGTTAGTATGTGCCTGTAAACCACTAATAAGCACTAACAATTACTTTCTGACTTTCAGTTTTAATATTCGCAAGTACAAGATAGGTAAGAGCCTTTCCCACAGGCCCATGTCCCTGTGTGGGGATTGCATGGGAAAGTTTTGGTAGCGGAGGGGGCTACAGAGGTGACTTCTGTGAGAAGCTGCTAGAAGCTTCCCCTATGTTCGATAGAGCCAATGCCAGCTGGCTCCAAGATGGACCCACTGCTGGCCAAGGCTGAGCCCATCAGCGACAGTGGTCGCACCTCTGGGATAACACATTTAAGAAGGGAAAAAGTTGTTGCACAACTGCAGCCAAAGAGAGGAGTGAGATATCTGAGAGAAACAAGTCTGCAGACACCAAGGTCAGTGAAGAAGGAGAGAGAGGAGGTGCTCCAGGCACTGGAGCAGAGATTCCCCTTCATCCTGTGGTGAAGACAATGGTGAGGCAGGCTATGACTCTGCAACCCATGGAGGTTAATGGTGGAGCAGATATCCACCTGCGGCCCATGAAGGACCCCACACCAGAGCAGGTGGAGACACCCAAAGGAGGCTGTGACGCCATGGGAAGCCTGCTCTGGAGCAGGCTCCTGGCAGGACCTGTGGACCCATGGAGAGAGAAGCCCACACAAGAGCATGTTTGCTGGCAGGACTTGTGGCCCTGTGGGGCACTCACGCTGGAGCGGTTTGCTCCTGAAGTTCTGCACCCTGTGGGAGGAACCCACACTGGAGCAGTTCATGAAGAACTGCAGCCTGTGGGAAGGACTCATATTGGAGAATTTCACGGAGGACCCCATGCTGGAGCAGGTGGCTGCACTTGAAGAAGGCTGTGACTCCATGGGAAGACTGTGCTGGAGCAGTCTGTGACGTGTGATGAACTGACTCCAACTCCCATTCCCCATTCCCCTGTGCCACTGGCAGGGAGGAGGCAGAGAAGCCCAGGAAGAAGGGAAGGGTGAGGGGAAGGTGTTTTAAGATGTAGGTTTTATTTTCTCATTACTCTACTTTGATTTAATTGGGAATAAATTAAATTAATTTTCCATAAATTGAGTCTGTTTTGTCCGTGACAGTAACGGCGAGTGATCTCTCTGTCCTTATCTCGACCCACCAGCCTTTCATTAGAATTTCTCTCCTCTGTCCAGCTGAGAAGGGAGAGTGATAGAGCGGCTTTGTGGGCACCAGGCATCCAGCCAGGGTCAACCCACCACAGTCCCACAACAAGAAGCCAGTTGTCATTAATACAGCCACTGAGATAGTATTTGGGTACAATTCAAATAAATTGCCCAGGAGTTATGGGGGCCTGAAAAGACAGGAAAAGGGTAACATGGGCAGTGCTGCCCTCCACATCACCCCGGCTGGCCCCTTCCTATACCGCTGCCTGCAACCAGCACCAGGCTCTCTTTGTCTTCCCTGCCAAACCCTTCTCCAACGGTACTCACGGATCAAAGACCAAGCGTGTGATGTACTCCTTCGGCATTCGAGGCAGCTGATGGGAGAACACGTTCTGCAAACCAACCAGCCACATCATGATCTTCTTGTTGGGCTTCTGGTTCAAAGAGTTGCCGACCACATGGAATTCGATCACCCCTCTGCGCTCCTCCAGCCTTGCCGCTTCGTCCCGGGCCGAGTGTGCCGAGAGGAAGTTGGTCTGTACCGCACAAAATAGGAACAAAAATCACATTTTGGAGATTTCATATCATGTGACAGAACATCCTTAACGAACAAACACATGAAACTCCCTCTTTTTTCCAGGCCAACTTTTTACAAAAATAGAGCTGCCAATGATTACCTTTATTAGCAGAAGTGACACCATCAAATAAGCTGGATATAAGTCTACGCCACAGTGTACAAAGGCTTATTCAAACTTATTTTGGTAAAGACCAGGTGACAACAGCAATGGTTATGACTCCACAAGTTCCAAAATCTCTCAAGGGACAGCGATCATCCCATTGAAGCCTATGACACCAAGTCTTCATATTTTCTTTAGTCTAGCCAGTCTGGACAAAAGTAGTGGATTCGCCTACGCATACTGCAAATCACATATTTTAATAGTGCGGGCAAAGTCATATTTTTTCATTTTAATAGTGCTTTCCACTATCTACGCCACTATTGTAAGAGTCCACAAAGAACATTTTAACTCCTACTGATTTTGCTGTGACGTGTCTAGCAATTGCATCCATATATTTGAATGGAGATGAAATTCATACAGACAATTTATTTATCTTTTTTTTCAAGATCATTTTACAATGCCAAAACATCTCTGCATGCACATACTGTTTACTTTTTAGAGCAAAGTCTGGCTGCTGCATTTCTAGCCACTGCCAGCCTCAACAGCCAAGCCTGGCACAGCATTTGTAACATGCAGAGCCATCAGTCACAGTATATACTTTGAGTAAGAAATGTAGGTGGTTCCAAATCTTCAGCAGTCTCTAGCTAAACCTTGGCAAACAAGAGCTGCTGGCAAAACATAGCCTGGCGAAGGGAACAGAAGGAGGAAAGGCCAGCCAAAAAAAAAAAAAAGGGGGCAATTCTGTACATGGCACAATTCTGCAATTCTGTTTGGTTTTCTCTTCCAGCAGAAAAAAAGAGCAACTGTGGAAGACAGCGCAAATAACTGTTTAGATCAGCCCTCCTGCACTAGACAGAGGTTTTAACTTTGGATTTTTCATTCTGCTGCAAATTCTCCCATTTACCTTCTCTTACGAGCTACACCTATGATTAACAATAAAAAGCATACTCTGAACTCTGACTCTGAACTTTTGTTACCCTGTAACAAAAGTACCTTGCAAAATAACCTGGAATCTGTTTTTTTACTATCACTAGTTTCCAGGTCTCTACGCAAACAGTACACAATGCATTAAAAAAATTGCAAAACTATTCTTCATGGTAATGATGTATTTCATCAATATTTTTTGCTCTCCTAATCATACTCTCTGAAAGTCTCTATTTTTCTTACTGGCAGCACGGTAAGCTTTGTGGACTCTTTAGCTTTTCAAACTCTATCCATGTGGAACATTTATTGAAAACAGACCATTTGCAAACAGACCAGGTCTATATATTTCTCACCTCTGGCCCAAGCATTGCTGCAGGATCTGTAATTGTCGACATTACTTCATTGATTAACTCGATAGGAATATCTCCTACAACCCTTGGTCTTTTTGAATCCTCCAGAGAATAGGGTTCATTATTTTTTCTCTTTTCACCTAAAAAAAAAAAACAGGACAAATTAGCACAACCGAACTGTCACAGACTACCACTGTGAAGTCTAGCACTTCTGATATATCCTTTAATTTGTACGCCATGTTTGAGATTATTTTTTTTTATTTTTTTATAGAAAGGGAGAAAGAGAAAGAAATGCAATCCAAACAATACTTATCACTGCTGCAATTTTGTCTTTGCATTGAGATATTAGCATGAAGCAGGATGAATATACCTCTCCTCCTCCTATACCTCTGTAAATTCACATTGAAACTATTTGCTTTTCTTTTTGCTTCAGCATCCTCTGCAGCGAACCTCTGTGCTGCTGTCTTGGTAGGTCAGTGCTTAATACACAAATTCTAGTACATACTTTTGGGTAACACGAAATCTCATTTTGGGATTCACTGGAATTAAGTATTCATTATAGATTTCTTTCACCCTTTTCGTACACCAAGCAGCACCTACAGTCTGACACGTCATACACATTTGACTTCGAAAATCCATATGAAGTTTCCAAATCAAGATATACCATGTTAATCATTAACTGCCCTGCTAACTGCAGACCAACCTGTAATATAGCAAAAGCAACTAGTTAAACAAATTCATGAAAGAAAAGTCCATCAAAGACTAGTGGGTACAATAATACTGATAGAGCCAGCTGCTAGCTCGGGATTTATCCAAGCAGCAAATTGCCAAATACAAGGAAAGCATACAAACAGGAATATCACTCCATGGTTACCTTGTTCCTGTATTCTT